AACTCTACAAGCCAGAAGAGAGTGGGGGCTGATATTCAACATCCTTAAAGAAAAGAACTTTCAACCCAGAATTTCATATCCAGCCAAACTGAGCTTCAGAAGTGAAGGAAAAATAAAATCCTTTGCGAACAAGCAAGTACTCAGAGATTTTGTCACCACCAGGCCTGATTTACAAGAGCCCCTGAAAGAGGCACTACACATAGAATGGAACAACCAGTACCAGCCATTCCAAAATCACTAAAAGCTAAAGAGCATCAACATAATGAAGAATCTACAACAACTAACGGGCAAAACAGCCGGCTAGCATCAAAATGGCAGTATCAAATTCACACATAACAATATTAACCCTAAATGTAAATGGACTAAATGCACCAATCAAAAGACACAGACTGGCAAATTGCATAAAAATCCAAAACCCATCAGTGTGCTGTATCCAGGAAACCCATCTCACATGCAAGGATACACAAAGGCTCAAAATAAAAGAATGAAGGAAGATTTACCAAGCAAATGGAGAGCAAAAGAAAGCAGAAGTTGCAATTCTCATCTCTGAGAAAATAGACTTTAAAGCAACAAAGATCAAAAGACATAAAGAAGGCCATTACCTATTGGTAAAAGGATCGATACAACAAGAAGAGCTAATGATCCTAAACATATATGGACCCAATACAGGAGCACCCAGATACATAAGGCAAGTTCTTAATGACTTACAAAATGACTTAGACTCCCACACAATAATAGTGAAAGATTTTAACACTCCACGGTCAATATTAGACAAATCAACCGGACAGAAAATAAACAAGGATATACAGGGCTTGAACTCAGACCTGGAGCAAGCAAACCTGATAGACATTTACAGAACTCTCCACCCCAAATCCACAGAATACACATTCTTCTCAGCACCACATCACACCTACTCTAAAATTGACCACATAATTGGAAGTAAAGCACTGCTCAACAAATACAAAACAACTGAAATCATAACAAACAGCCTCTCCGACCATAATGCTATCAAGTTAGAACTCAGAATTCAGAAACCAACCCAGAACCGCACAGCTTCATGGAAACTGAACAACTGGCTCCTGAATGTTGACTGGATAAACAACAAAATGAAGGCAGAAATAAAGAAGTTCTTCGAAACCGATGAGAACGAAGACACAACGTGCCAGAATCTCTGGGACACATTTAAAGCAGTCTCTAGAGGAAACTATATAGCAATAAGTGCCCATATGAGAAGAATGGAGAGATCCAAAATTGACATCCTATCATCAAAATTGAAAGAGCTAGAGGAGCAAGATTATAAAAACTTAAAACCCAGCAGAAGACAAGCAATAACTAAGATCAGAGCTGAGCTGAAGGAGATAGAGACACGAAAAACCCTTCAAAAAATCAATAAATCCAAGAGCTGGTTTTTTGAAAAGATCAACAAAATAGACAGACCACTAGCCAGACTGATTAAAAAGGAAAGAGAGAACAACCAAATAGATGCAATAAAAAATGATAAAGGGGAAATCACCACAAATTCCACAGAAATTCAAACCATCATCAGAGAATATCACAAACAACTCTATGCACATAAACTAGTAAACCTGGAAGAAATGGATAAATTCCTGGACTCCTGTGTCCTCCCAAACCTAAACCAGGAGGAAGCAGAAACTAGGAATAGACCAATAACAAGGTCTGAAGTCGAGGCAGCAATTAAGAGCCTACCACACAAAAAAAGCCCAGGTCCAGATGGGTTCACAGCCAAATTCTACCACACACACAAAGAGGAGCTGGTACCATTTCTTCTAATACTATTCCAAATAATCCAAAAAGAAAGAATCCTTCCCAAATCATTCGATGAGACCAATATCATCCTGATACCAAAACCCGGCAGAGACCCAAAAAGAAAAGAAAACTTCAGGCCAATATCCATGATGAACATAGATGCAAAAATCTTCAATAAAATATTGGCAAGCCGATTGCAACAGCAAATCAAAAAACTTATTCATCATGATCAAGTAGGATTCATCCCAGGGATGCAAGGCTGGTTCGACATACGCAAGTCTATAAATGTAATTCACCACATAAACAGAACCAAAAACAAAAACCACATGATTATCTCAATTGATGCAGAGAAGGCATTTGACAAAATTCAACAGCCCTTTATGCTAAAAACCCTCAATAAACTCGGTATCGATGGAACGTATCTCAAAGTAATAAAAGCTATTTATGACAAACCAACAGCCAATATCATACTGAATGGGCAAAAACTGGAAGCATTCCCTTTGAAATCCGGCACTAGACAAGAATGCCCTCTCTCACCACTCCTATGCAATATAGTACTGGAAGTTCTAGCCACAGCAATCAGGCAAGAAAAAGAAATAAAGCATATTCAAATAGGAAAGGTGGAAGCCAAATTGTCTCTATTTGCAGGCGACATGATGGTATACATAGAAGACCCATCGCCTCAGCCCAAAAACTCCTGAAACTGATAAGCAACTTCAGCAAAGTCTCAGGATATAAAATCAATGTGCAAAAATCACAAGCCTTCTTCTACACCAATAACAGACTAAAAGAGAGCCAAATCAAGAACGAACTGCCATTCACAATTGCTACAAAAAGAATAAAATACCTTGGAATACAACTCACAAGGAACGTAAAAACCTCTTCAGGGAAAACTACAAACCACTGCTCAAGTAAATCAGAGAGGACACAAACAGATGGAGAAACATTCCATGTTCATGGTTAGGAAGAATTAATATCGTAAAAATGGCTATACTGCCCAAAGTAATTTACAGAATCAATTCTATACCCATCAAGCTACCATTGACTTTCTTCACAGAACTGGAAAAAACCACCATGAACTTCATATGGAACCAAAAGAGAGCCCGCATAGCCAAGTCAATTCTAAGCAAAAATTACACAGCGGGGGGCATCACACTACCGGATTTCAAACTACACTACAAGGCTACATTAAACAAAACAGCATGGTACTGGTACCAAAACAGAGATATAGACCAATGGAACAGAACAGAGGCACCGGAGGCAACACAACATACATACAACTATACAATCTTTGATAAACCTGACAAAAACAAGCAATGGGAAAAGGATTCCCTGTTCAACAAATGGTGCTGGGAAAACTGGCTAGCCACGTGCAGAAAGCAGAAACTGGACCCCTTCCTGACACCTTACACCAAAATTAACTCCAGATGGATTAAAGACTTAAACATAAGACCTGGCACCATAAAAACCCTAGAAGGAAATCTAGGCAAAACCATCCAGGACATAGGAGTAGGCAAGGACTTCATGAACAAAACACCAAAAGCATTGGCAACAAAAGCCAAAATAGACAAATGGGACCTAATGAAACTCCACAGCTTCTGCACAGCAAAAGAAACAGTCTCTAGTGTGAATCGGCAACCAACAGAATGGGAAAAAGTTTTTGCAGTTTACCCATCCGACAAAGGGCTGATATCCAGAATTTACAAAGAACTCAAACAGATTTACAAGAAAAAAACAAACAAGCCCATTCAAAAGTGGGCAAAGGATATGAACAGACACTTTATGAAAGAAGACATATATGAAGCCAACAATCATATGAAAAAATGCTCATCGTCACTGGTCATCAGAGAGATGCAAATCAAAACCACATTGAGATACCATCTCACGCCAGTTAGAATGGCGATCATTAAAAAATCTGGAGACAACAGATGCTGGAGAGGATGTGGAGAAAAAGGAACACTTTTACACTGTTGGTGGGAGTGTAAATTAGTCCAACCATTGTGGAAGATGGTGTGGCGATTCCTCAAGGCCTTAGAAATAGAAATTCCATTTGACCCAGCAATCCCATTACTGGGTATATATCCAAAGGAGTATAAATCGTTCTACTACAAGGACACATGCACACGAATGTTCATTGCAGCACTGTTTACAGTAGCAAAGACCTGGAATCAACCCAAATGCCCATTGATGATAGACTGGATTGGGAAAATGTGGCATATATACACCATGGAATATTATGCAGCAATCAGAAATGATGAGTTCGTGTCGTTTGTAGGGATATGGATGAATCTGGAGAACATCATTCTCAGCAAACTGACACAAGAACAGAAAATGAAACACCGCATATTCTCACTCATAGGCGGGTGATGAAAAATGAGAACACATGGACACAGAGAGGGGAGTACTAAACACTGGGGTCTATTGGGGGGAAAAGGGGAGGGCCAGTGGGAGGGGGAGGTGGGGAGAGATAGCCTGGGGAGAAATGCCAAATGTGGGTGAAGGGGAGAAAGCAAACAAAACACACTGCCATGTGTGTACCTATGCAACTCTATTGCATGCTTTGCACATGTACCCCAAAACCTAAAATGCAATAAAAAATACAAAAGAAAAAAAAAAAAGAATTGGAGTGGTTAATGAAGTGTGAGATTAATAATTACTTATCATAATATACCGTTCTTTAATAAGTAGTATCAAGTTTCCTATAAATGGTTTACATTCCCTGATTGTAAAACTGAAGAGCAAAATTTGTAAAAAAGAGTAATTTATAGATTCAATGCTACCTCTATTAAGCTAACATTGACTTTCTTCACAGAATTGAAAAAAAGACCTTAAATTTTATGTGGAAGCAAAAAACAGACCGCAGAGCCAAGATAATCCTAAGGGGCAGGGGGAAGCAAAAAAAAAAAAAAAGAAAGCTGAAGGCATCATGCGACCTGACTTCAAACTATACTACAAGGCTACAGTAATCAAAACAGTATGATAGTGGTACCAAAATAGAGATATAGATAAGTGGAACAGAACAGATGCCTCAGAAATAATGCCACACATCTACAACGATCTGATCTTAGACAAACCTGACAAAAACCAGTAATGGGAAAAAGATGCTCTATTTAATAAATGGTGTTGGGAGAAACAATGTCTTTGAAATGTTGACTCACATGAACCCAGAGAAAGGAAGAATAAGCTGCAGCTAGAGCCTAGGTGTGTGAGAGAAGGAAGGGAGCAGTCCTCACCTGGCAGAGGCAACAGGTTTTTTGAGCGGGAATAAAGAACCAAGAACTATCTCAACTCTTCTCCACAGGTCCTGCTGAGGATCACAGCCACTGATGTCCCAGAAACTCTGGAACAAACAGAAGCATTACTTTTTAGGGCCAACACTTTTGTCCATAATTCCCAACTTTCTTTTTTAAACTATTGCACCAATTAGGACAATGTACACCTTCCATGTAGATTCTTCACAGTGGAGAAAAATCTCCATGAGAGCCATGGAGGCTGGACTGCACAATCCTTCACTCCATTATTCTTATCTGTGCATTTCCCTTTTACTCCTTTCTCCCCCTGGTACCTCCACCACCGTGATTTCTGCTGCATCACAGACACAGGCCTGCAAACACGGGTGGTGGTGTCAAGGTCACAGTGAGCTAGGATTGCATGAGTGCCTGTAAGCCTGCACAATAGAATGTGACCCCATCTCAAAAGAGAACAAGTATCAGCCACTTGTAGATTCCCTTCAGTTATTTCTATGGCCCACACTCTTTATTTGTGCAAGTACTAAAGCTGTGCTCTTAACAATTTGTGCCCCTTCTGAGAAGAAATTCCATGGCCCTTGATGATTGTGATGCATGTGCATCCCACACCCATGGGTTTACTGTTCTCTTGTTATGTCCCTCTCTTTCAACAAGCATTATTTCTCACTGGAGTGAATTACGTTACTGTTACATTCTCATATCTTGGTTTCACAGTTTCAGAGTTCAAAATGAAGACAGCGCAGTGTTCCAGAAGAATCCACCCTCTTCTTTCAGTAACATCTCACAGGTCCTATACATGCCAGGGATTAGAATAAAAGTTTTATATATATTAACTGTTCTATTCATGTGAACACCCTACAAAGAAGAAATTTCTAGTAATCCTCTTTGGATGGGGAAATTGAGTTAGAGAACATTTAAGTAACAGATCTAAGATGGCACTGCTAGTAAGAGGTGAAATCAGGACAGCTATCCAGGCAGCCTGGCTCCTGATGCCTTGCTCATAACTATGCCTCCACCCCTATTTCCTCAGGAATAATGGGCCTGACTGTGGTAGGGTGGGAATGAGGAGGCCTGAGTTTGCCTTTAGACTCCAATCTCCTGCATCATGAGAATCTCTTACAGAAGGGTAGGCCATACCCAGCCCTGCCCATCTCATCCACTCTGAATCTCTGTAGCAGGCACCACATACATGGCTTGTGTACTTGTCTGTAGGTTCTTGAGTGACAATCAGAGAGACACTGATCCTCGCTTTTGTGTGAGTACTCCATGGTCCAAGGATAGTGCGTGGTGGAGGAAGAGGGAAAATATTTACTTAGGGGGTGCTCTCATGTGAGTGATGTGGAAATATCTAGTTGGTAGGATGGAGGCACCATGCAGGTTAAGGTCCTGGAGATCCTCTAGCACCAGGCATGAAACCTGCAGTTCCTGCACTGTGGGCCAGTCATACGGCCTAGAAAAAAAAAAAAACCCTCAGTGGGTTTAAGCTGTGGCTCCTTATCAAGAGGCATAGAGTTTTCAAGGAATGGGTCACTTATAGCCCCAGGTCAGTTACTGCAGCTCAGCTTCCATCTGGGAACACGGGGCAGAGCATCTCACTTCTAAAGAACAGGAGGAGCTGAAGCAACCCCACAGGGATGAGGGTTGTAGTAGCACCAGAAAGGCTTTGTCTGCCGGGTGGAAAAGGGGGAAGGAATTTCTATGTGTGTCCTGTCTGTGCCCCACAAGGGAGGGTTCTGCACCATTTGCTGTGTGCTTTACCCTCAGCAATGACCCACAGCTGCAGGTGTATTTCCACACCGGGGTGAATGAGGACTCACACGTCACCTTCCACTTCTGAGTGTATCTTGGCCATTGTGTGGTCATGAACATTCATTAATGTGAGGCCTGGACGTGTGAGGTGACATGCCACAATGTGACCTTCAAAGATGGAGAACAATATGACCTGGGCCTCTCAGTGCTGAAGAAGGAGTACCAGGTGAGCGCCCAGGAGCTCCCAGCACATGGCCTTTGTGGGCTTCTAGAGTAGGAGGCAGCTCTCTTTCAGATGGCTCCATGAGTCTTTTGGGCTCCTCTTATTACTACCCTTGCCCCAGGCTTTTCACCACAGAGCACCATCTGCTTGCACTGCCATTTTCAGCTCATTTCCTAAATCTGACCAGGGTCAAGGTCAGCTTACCTGCCATTTCCCGCATGGTACGAAATCTCCACTGTCTTTTCTTACAGTGCTCATTTCTACTTAGGTGGTTACGTATATTTTCATTTAGCTGAATGAATACAATATGTGTAAGGATAAAATTGTTGTAGTCAGTCAAAAATTAAGACTTTGTCTCACTCCTGGACTCCAGTTTGACTCCTGAGAACATTACCAGTGCTCTGCTCTCCTTCCAGAGGAAACCTATTCCTATAGAAGCACAGATGTCTACGATTTCATTTGCTTTTTAAACAAATTTTCGTATAAACTGCTCTACACATCACATACAAGTTGATTTCTTCTTAAAGAATATATCTTTAGGACATCACCTATCCATGGTGCTGCCTCGGTTTTTAAAGACTGCATAGTATCTCAATAGGAGTACCCAAAATTGTTGAACTTGACCTTTTTGGTGGGCATTTAGGTTGTTTCCAGTGTTTTGCTCTCACAAATAATGCCATATTAAGCTCTCTAATCAATGCTTTTGTCATTATCAACCTTCTGATACTACATTGGAAGATAATTACAAAGAAATGGAGTAACTGGGTCAAAAATGTGTGCATTTCAAATCGCATATATAAACACCTATAAAGTACCTTTCTCTATTGACCTCAGTAGTAAAGAATATGTTCAAACTTTCTGGCCTTCCCTAATGTTGATGCCCAAAGATTTACATTTTATTCACATTTGAGAATCTTTTTATATGCTAATCAGCTATTAAAAATAATATCGTATGTTTTGCCACACTAGTCCTGTTTTAAATCTATAGGAACACATGTGTTTTATCCTTGGCCACCACCAGCTCAGATCTCAGATAGAGTAAACAAAAACTAGGCCACTGGCAGTGAATGGCACTCATAGTTCAAGGAACTGAAAGATAGGCATTAAATGAGCATTATCAAGCACTAACCCTCCGTTTAACCCTGTGCAAGACACAGGGATTCTACATCACAGGACATAGTCCCTGGCCATGGGGAACTTCAAGGCTAGAGTGGAGGCTAAGCAAACAGAAGAGATCGTGTAACACAAAGTAGTAGAATCCCACTGGAAGAATGAGAGAAAACATTGATAATACAGTGAGCTACTGTTTGAAATAGCGAGAAAGGTAGTCTGTAAACAGAAGCCTCTCTGATGCAATCTGAAACTGCCTTTCTTTCCTTTCTCTCTTTTTCTTTCTCTTTTCTTTCCTTCTTTCCCTCCCTCCCTCCCTTCCTCCCTCCCTCCCTCCCTTCCTTCCTTCTCTGCTCTTCTCTTTTCTCTTCTTCTCTTTCTGATAAAGTTTTGCTTTTTCTTCCCCAGCTAGAGGGCAATGGTGCGACCTCAGCTTCTTGTAACCTTCCCCTTTCTGGTTCCAGTGGTTCTCCTGCCTCAGCCTCCTTAGCAGCTGGGAGTAAAGGCATATGCCACCACGCCTGGCTAGTTTTGTATTTTTAATAGCGATGAGGTTTTGCCATGATGATCAGGCTGGTCTCAAACTCCTGACCTTAGGTGATCCTCCCACATTGGCCTCCCAAACAGTAGGGATTACAGGCGTGAGCCACTGCACCTGGCTCAAACTGCCTTTCTGATGCAACCTGAAACTGAACAAATAATCACACAAAGATTTGGAGCCCAAAGGAGCTGCCAAAGGCTCTTCATTACTTTCCCTTGGCTGTGACCCTGGGTGAGCTTTTAACAAAACAGAAAATATGATTACGTTTCTGTTGCACATACATGGACTTCTTGAGAAAGCCAGTTTCTCAAGAAGTCCATGGTGCAGTTTCTCAAGAAATCCATGGTGCAGATATAAATGATTTCATAATTCACTGGGTTCTGAGGCATAATTAGTAGTTTCCTTGTGCAATATTATAGGTACAAGGACAGAGTAGGCTGAAAGTTTGGTTAAATACTGTCTTCCTGATGCATTTGTGTGTGTGTGTGTGCGTGAGTGTGTGTGCGTGCTAAATGGCCAACACTGTTAAAACTTTGCCCATCAACTCCTGCCATGTTTTGTGAAAATGCTGCAAGTGTGAAGCGGTGTCTACCTGACCTCAATGTGTGTCTGTGACTGAGGTAATAACCACACTCCCCATTGTCGAGGTATCCCTCTTTCTATGTGACCATGGGATTCCCAGAGCCAGCTAATAACATAATCCCTTCTCACTCAAACCCTGACACTTGCTCATTAAAACTTCACCAGATTTTTCAGGATTTGATTTTTACTTTCAGGTGGAAGAGAGGAAGGGGTCTCCTCCAAGAGCAGTTGGGGATTCTATGGAAAACATCCATAAATCAAAGAAGTAAAATCTTCCTGTGACACAAGGAGTGAGTGACAAGGTCCCTAGGATGTCTGAGAACACATTAGAAACAACATCCTTCAGTAGCCCCTACTTTATGTCAGACACTTTGACCTGAGTGACTTTTTTTGGCAATTAGTCCCACTCAGTCCCCATTGGCTTCATTGCCTCTCACACAGTAAACACAATAACCCTGTAAAGAACTCTTGAAAGCAACACAGTTACAGAAAGAAACTCAGAGTGAACTCCAGTGTTTTGTCATCTTATTAGGATGTGGTGTCCATGAGGTGACTACAAATTATCTGCTGCATTTTCTCTCAACATACACACTGAAGGAACCCATTATCGGCTCTATACACATCAGACACACAAGATGGAAACAGACAAGGGGAAATGCAATGAGCATGCCTATTTTAGAGTGCAAACGAAAAAGGACGGCAGTCACTAGGCCATATCATTGCTGAGACCTTCCAGAAATCTATTTTCTCTTTTTTGTAGGTAGAGACAGCTCTAATGACTTCCATTATTCTTTGCCACCATCACAGCCCTCTTTGTAGGGGTGACTGAACCAACGTGAAATTCTACCATGTTCTGAGTGTGTCCAATGCTTTTATTCAACTTGAAACTGAGGAAATAAGCACAGATCAATTTGAAACCCACGGGGAGGCTGCCAAGGGCTCTTCATTACTTCACTTCCTTATGACCCTGGGTAAATTTTTAAGCAAACTGAACATCTGACCATGGTTCCTTTGCACATCTAGTTACAAAGCCAGGTACAGTTTTGCAAGAAATCCATGGTGCAGACATACATGATTTCATGACTCACTGCTGGAATCTTGCAAATTCTATTTCTGCAACATCACTGTCACAGAGACAAGTTATAGAAAAGACATTTGTTTATTAAGAAAACAGCAAGACACTCAGAGTAGATACAAAACTGCCTGTCCTGAGTGAACTTGCAGGAAATAAAAAATTTTCAATTCATTGCTGTTTTATTCATGTAGAGCCATAAGACTATCCCACAGGTGTCAGAAAGGCTGTAATTGAAAGAGAAGGGTAAGGGCGTGTGTGCAGGCTTCTGGGCTGACAGTGGATTTGGAATGTGAATAACTGAGTGAGTAGCAGGCTGGGAGAGAATGTTTCTGAGCTGAGCATGGCTGAATGAAAGCCACACTTTACAGTGAAAAGACAGGGGGGCACTCATAGGGGCTCTCTTCCACCTACCTGAAGTCCAGAGCTCACAGGTCCCTCCACTCAACCAGAAAAAAACAAAAATAAAACTCCTATGCTGTCTCCTTCTCAGGTTAGGCATGGGGAATATGCAACTTCGTTTCAGGAAAGGTTGAGACCCAGACTTAGAAAAAGCTAACTTGTTCATGTAAGGAGTGCTCATGGATGACCATGCCCTGCTCCCGCTGTCCCTACAGACTGAGAAAGGAAAAAGCCATTTCACAGAGGAGAAGCTTCAGGCTCCAACAGTGCCCATGGCAGTCACTACTTTGCAGAGTGTGAACACTGGTCGGTGAAGGTTGCAAGGTGAAGTCTTTGATCAGGGCACACAGTATCAGCTCTCCCTGGTCATCTTCCTTGCAGGTCCCATTCTTTTCCCCCACTAAGATGGGGTTATGAAACCTCCATTGCCATCCCCTACAGTGTCTACCACTGTAACCTATTCCATGTCAGAGCCTAAATCTAGACCTAAGTAGACCCATCATGACCCAATAATCAATTCCTAAGTTTGACTTTTCTCTTTGGAATGTCTGCTTTTGGGTGGACTCTGGGCAGCCCCATCTGCCAGAGGTTTTCTAAAGATTCGAATCCTCAGTGTGTCCTGATTCTTGCCTTCTCATTGAGTCTCTGTTTGCCTTATGAACAATTACTTGCATTCACAGTCAGAAAGCGAGAGATTTGTTTCAAATTTTAGGGAGTCTGTGATATGTCTTGAAATTTTCCATGAAAAAAAAGATCAGCATGATGGGACTGGGACAATTTTGTGTAGAAAGCAGTGTTTGCAATTGTCCCATGCTCGGACCCTCCCAATGTCCATGAAGAGTAAAACTGGTAGGTATGTGTTGATCTATTTATAAAACTTCAGAGTGTACAGCAGTGAAAATAAAGGAACTACAGCTTCACACAGCAATACAGATGAATCCTAAAAAGAGAAATGTGAACTAACGATGCATGGCCCAGAAGGAGCCCTCCAGGAAAATCACCTACAAGCAACATTCAACAAAGCAGTGAAACTCAAAGAAAAGCAAGGAGGAAAGACAGAAGCAGGGCTACCCATGAAGGCAAGAAGGTTACAAGGCAGGGAAGTGACAAATAGGAACCAATGGGCGTCACCAACAGGCCATGCCTAATATTGAAGTGCTATGTCAGTAATTACTCACCAAAATATAGATTGTTTGGTAACTCGAATCAACTTTTTGCAAACACCTTAAATTTACAGTCAATAAAACTGAAGAGGAAAATATAGAAAGAGAGGAAACAAATGGAAGGAGGGGAATTCTAACACATTCCTTCTTCAAATTCTAATATAGGTTTTTGAGATGTTTTCTACTACCAGAGAAAGAGAACTCGAGGAAGGGTCCTGAGTCTTCCACCTCAGGTGAAGACTTCACTATGGCTGAAGTCCAATCACCTGCACCTGCACCTGTCCTCACATGTGTCTGGAGCTAAGGAGCACACAACTCAAGGCCTAGACTCAAGAGTCTCACCTGTCTCTTTGAATCTGCAGAAGAAGCCGGAACTCTGAGATTTCAATGTACATGGACACCCGAAGAGAAAGGAGATTGTGTGGCTGGAGCCCAGGTGTTTGAGAGTGGTCACCACTCACCAGAGCCAAGGGGCCTGGGGTGGGCTCATGAGGACACAAGGACTTTCTCCACCTCTCCCCCAAGTTTCTGCTGAGGATCAAGGGCAGTGCTCTCTCAGAGACTCTGGAGAAGAGAACAGGATTACATTTGAGGGCCAAAGCCTTCTCAACAATCCCCACCTGATTCTCATTGTACAAGTTAGAAAAATGCACACCTGCCAGGTGGATTCTGCACAGTGGAGAAAATGCTTCAGGACAGACATGGAGTATGAACATCAAAAACTCTCATTGCATCATCCTTATCTATGCATTTCCCTGGAAATCCCCTTTTCTCCCCTGATAACTCCCTCCCTGTCTGTCATAGGCCTGCAAACAGGTGTGGTTGTGACTAAGCTTCTTTTTAACACCTTACATCCTATCGCACAGGGACACCTTCCTGGGAGGGACTTGGAAACAGAAATAAAGTCAGAGGGACGGGCTTCCAGGGACCATTTAAATGCTGCAACTCCAAGAGATTCACACAGAAGACTGAACACAATTTGGAACAGCCACCCAGAAGGGGACGACAATGTCAACACTACCTGTGAGTTGAAAAGGCACAGTCTTCAATAATCTCAAGTCACAAAAAAAAGGAAAGAGGGAGATTTTATGAGATACAAATATGAGCATTTCTACTGTGAGCTGTAAGCTTGTGAATGAGATAGCCTAGGGCTCTCACGTCTGAGATGCTTGTGGGTGTGAAGGGTGGACCCTGGGCCACTGTAACCCTCTGTGACCAAGTGATGGTGTCTGCTGAGTATGGTGTCTGTTGAGATTATATGACTTTAGGTGGGAGGTGAATGGCCCATCAGGACATGCGGGTATGTGCGTGAGTGTAAGGGGTGACTATGCTGTCATGGTAACTGTGATGTGACTGTGTGAGCACAGCCAAATCAGTGTGTCAGCATCTTTATATTCACAGCGAGTGGGCATGTGTGGCTCTGAGTGGTGTGGCTCTGTGTGACTGTGGGTGTGTGTGCTGGGATGTGACTGGGTGTTGAACTGGAAACATGCATGTGGGCTTCTGTGCATGGAAAGGTTTCTCCACACACAGCAGCACCTCTGATGAAGCAGCTGTGCCTCTTCCCATGTGTGTCAGTGTGGATCCCAGGTGGCAGAAATGGTGAGGATTCTGGGGACTGTGAGTTACCAAGGACTGGTCTCTGAGCATTGATGAGAGCAGAATGCACAAATTCTCAGGAGACTCTTCTTATGTAGAGTTGGGGAGAGGGAGGCGGACATTGTGCAGAGCATCTGCAGGTAAGATCTGCACACAGTGACCACTGGCTCCTGCCTCCAGCCTCAGGTCTCTCCCTGTCCCACATCCTAGCCTGTCCTTCACACTGAGCACCAGGATGGTGGGCAGATTACGATTCTCTAGGTAAGAACTTTGGGGAACTTCATTTCAGAAATGGAATCACCAAAAACCAGCAAGGAACTTTAGCTTCAGTTCAGACAGAGCTTACAGTGGATATTCATCAAGATGTTGGTTGAGGCCTGTAATCCCAGCACCTTGGGAGGCTGAAATGGGAGGATTACCCGAGGCCAGAGTTTGGAGACCAGCCTGGGCAACACAGCAAGATTCTGTCTTTCCAAACATTTAAACATTTGCTGGGCATGCTGATGTGTGCCTGTAGTCCCAGATGCTTGGGGACTGAGGCTGGAGGATTACTGCTGTCCAGGCATTCAAGGCTGTAGTGAGCTGTTATGCTGTCACTGCATTCTGGGGATTAGGGTAAAGGCTTTACACATATTAACTCCTATATTACCGAAAAAGTCCTACAGAGTAGGACCTTTAGAAAATCCTGCCTGTACTGGGGAAACGGAAGTGGGGGAGTTCCAGTAGTGAATCTAATGTCACACTGTTGGCAGAGCAAAGTGATTCACCCCTGTACATCAGCAGTTTGGGAGGCTAAGGCAAGAGGATCTTTTGAACCTAGAAGCTCCAGACTAACTTGGGCAACATCAAAAGAACCCGACTCTCCGCAAACATAAAATATGAGCTGGTTTTGTGGTGTGGACCTGTACTCAGCTACTCAGGGGGCTGAGGTGAGAGGATTGCTGGAGCCCTGGAGGTTGAGGCTGCAGTGAGTGTGCAATGATGGGCCCACTGCACTCACATCCGGGGAATATAATAAGACCCCATGTTAAGAATAGTGTTCAAAAAATGTTAACCTCTCACTTCTAGTAGAAGGCAGAATCAAGGAGAAAATTGAGGCAGCCCAGTTTCTGAAGCTCTGCTTTTAAGTATGTATTCAAGAATACAGGGTTCTGGCCGGGGGCGGTGGTTCACACTTGTAATCCCAGCACTTTGGGAGGCCGAGGCGGCTGGATCACGAGGTCAATAGATCGAGACCATCCTGGTCAACATGGTGAAACCCCGTCTCTACTAAAAATACAAAAAATTAGCTGGGCATGGTGGCACGTGCCTGTAATACCAGCTACTAAGGAGGCTGAGGCAGGAGAATTGCCTGAACCCAGGAGGTGGAGTTTGCGGTAAGCCAAGATTGTGCCATTGCATTCCAGCCTGGCCTGAGTAACAAGAGAAAAACTCTGTCTCGAAAAAAAAAAAAAAAAAATACAGGGTTATAATTGTAGTAAGGTTGGAGAGGGGGGGTCTCAGGGTCTACCCTTCAACATCTAAACAGCTGCCTAAAGGGAATCTGTTACAGCAGGGTAGGCCCCACATGGTCTGGTGCCTCTCACTCAGTCTCAGTTTTCTGACAGGTGCCATACACACAGGCTGTGTCCCTGCGTATTGGTACTTCTGTGACAATTAGAGGGAAACCTGTCCAACCTTTCATGTGAGTATTTTTGTGTCAACGGGTGGTGGGGCAGAGGAGGGAGAACATTTGCTCAGGGGGTGACCTCATGTGAGTGATGTGGAAATGTCTGGCTGGCAGGATGAAGGCACCGTGCAGGTTGCAGGTCCTGGATACCCTCCAACACCAGGCATGCAACCTGCAGTGGCTGAACTGTGAGCCAGTCATGAGACCTAGGTGAGGAGGACAGTCAGGGGTGGAGATTGTGGCACTTTATCTATAAAGGGCCAAAAATTTTCATGAGGTGGACACTCGCAAGGTTAGTGACTGTAGTTAAGTTTCTGTCTGGGAATGAAGGGCAGAGCATCTTCTCCCACCCTTATCTAGGGCAGGAGGAGCTGAAGCAGCCCCACAGAGAGGAAGCCTGCATTATCACCAGGAAGGCTTCTGTCTGCCATGGTGAAAAATGGGAAGGATTTGTGGGTATGTTGTGTGTGTACCCAACAAGACAGGGGCCTCCTCAACACACTGTGTGCTTTGTCTTCAGCAATGAACCTCAGCTACAGGTGGATTTTCACACCGCGATGGATGAGCTCTCAGACATCGCTTTCCATTTCAAAGTGTACTTTGGCCGTTATGTGGTCATGAACAGCTGTGAGAATGGGGTCTGGAAGCAGGAGCTGAAATCCAACAAGATGCCCTTTGAGGATGGCAAAGAGTTTGAGCTTTGCTTTAGAGTGGTGGACAATGGGTACCAGGTGAGTGCCCAAGGAGCTCCCAGCACCTGGCCTCCATGGGCTCCCAGAGCAAGAGACAGCTCTCCCCGTCCTCCAAGAAACTCTTGGAGCCTATCTCCCATAACTACCTCTGTCTCAAGCTTTTCCTCACACACAGAGGGGACACTTAACTTTTATAATTTTCCTCTCTCAACAAGTGTTGTTGCGTGCACTGCCATCATCTCTGCTTGCACTGCCCTCCACAGCTCCTTCCCAATCTGACCAGGGTCAAGGGTGGCTCACCTACCATTTCCTCCATGGTGGAGAATCTCCTCTATCTTCATCCACAGTTCTCATTTTCACTTACGCTATTATTTCAATTTTCATGTAGCTAAATAAATAGAATTGTTATAGTCAGTCCAATATGAAAAATTTCTGTTACTCCTGATGCCAGAGTCTCAGAAGAATATTACTAGCTTTTCTACTCTTCTTCTACAGACAGTCTATGCTTATGAGTGCATATATACACACACACACACACACACACACACACAAATATATTTTCATTTCTTTTAAACAGATGCTGGCATAGATTTCTCTACACATAACACTTTAATAACTACAGTTATTTGGATCCAAAGTATATACCTTGGAGAAACCATCTATCAACTGTGCTGTCTCATTTTTTAAAAATTGAATATTATTCCCCTCAAAAAATTATCAAAACTTGTTGAATATGATCTTTACAAAAGCACCGAGGTGGTTTCCAATGTTTTGCTCTCACAGGGATGCTGTATTAAGCTTCCTAATTATTAGAAACCTTTTATCATTATCAACCTCCCAATACTTACATTGGAAAATAATTACAAACAAATGGAATAACCCATTCAAAATTGTTTGCTTTAAATTAGAGAATACGACCTAGAAGAGGACTTCCTATAGAGCCTCAGTAATGAAAAATGTGATCAAACTTTCTAACCTTTCAAAGTGTATGCTAAAGGATTCACGTTTTATTCAGATTTAAGTCAGGGATTTTCCCCCTATGTTTATAAGATGTTAAAGATAACATCTAACGTTGTGCAACATCTGTGCATTTTCATCATTCTGAGAACACTTGGCTTTTATTCTTTGACACCACCAGTTGAGATTTGGGCTACTCCAAAGAGAAGCTGGGCCATGAGAAATGAATGTGAGTCAGTTCATGTAACTGAAATGTATGCATTCAATGAACATTGTCAAGCACTAACCCCATGGCAGGCCCTGTGCAAGATGATGAGATTCAAGTTTATGAAACACAGTACCTGACCACGGGGATTTTCCAGGCTAGAGAGAAGACCAAACAAACACATATGACACAGAGCGGTAGAACCTCTTTAGAGAATGAGAGGAAATGCTGAAAATATAGTGAAGAACTATCTCGAATAATCACAAAAGGTAGTCTGTAAAAAGAAGTGTGTCTACTGGCTTCAGATGTATAATTAGGTGTTTTCTGGTTGCATGTTGCAGGTACTAGGACATAGTGGAGAGCAGGTTGAAAGCTTGTTTAGTGAAATACTGTCTTTCTGATGCATTTTTCTTCTTCTAGATAATGGTCAATGGCCAGTTCTATTACACCTTTGAAAATCGACTCCCACGAGAGTCTGTGAAGATGGTGCAAGTCTGGAGAGATATCTCCCTTACTTCAGTGTATAGCTAGAATCAAGAGTGACAGCCAGACTCTTCACTTTAAAATAATTCCTGTTTCTATGTGGCCATGGATTCCCAGAGCTGGCTAACAACATGATCTCTCCTGACTTCAGTTCTTACACTTGCTCATTAAAACTTCATCAAACTTTACAGAATTTGCTTCTTCCTTTCAGGGGGAAAAAGAAAGTGGTCTTTACTAAGAGGGCCTCAGGGAGTCTATGGGTGACATGAAGGAGTCAAAGGGAATACATCTTCCCGGCACAGAAACACTGAGTGACAAGTCCACTGAAACACCTGAGAAGACATTAGGAATAACAGCCTTCTACAGCATGGACTTTATGTCAGACACTGAAGTAAAATCGCTACCCAATTTCAGATGAGTCACTGCACTGAAATGTCAGGTAGCTGTGTTTTCAGCCACACAGGGGTAAGCGATGGGATTGGAGGCTTCAATAACTGAGCCATGATAGGGTTGGGGAGGCTGTGGCTGAGCTCAGCAGGGCTGTATAGGAGCCCCGCTCTCTACACTGAAAGCAGAAGGGTGGGAAACCTTGAGGGCTCCCATTCCTCCACCTGAACCCAAAGTGTCACATCTTCTTCCACTTAACCAGGAAAAGAAAAACAAGAAGAAAATTGCTTGTGAAAAAAACTCATATGCTTTTTTTCCCTAAGTTCCGGAAAAAGGCATATACAGTATCACTTCTGGAAAGGCAAATCCCACATGTACAAATCTGATTTATTCATTTAAAGAGTGCTCATGGATGAACAAGCCCTTCTCCCATCCTTTCTGCAGACTGAGAAAGGGAAAAATCATTTCACAGAGGAGCGGCTGTAGGCTCAAACGGTGAACAGAGTACTCATTACTTTGCAGAGTGTAAATCTTTGGAGGTCACTACTTTAAGAGTGTAAATCTTGGACAGGGATGAATGCAAGGCCAATCCTTTGATCAGAGCACACAGCGTTGGTTCTCACTGAAGGTCTCCCTGTAGCCATCATTCTTCTCCACCCACAGACACAGGGTTAGGACACCTTTACTGCGACCCCTGCAGTACTCTCACTGCCTCTCTTTCTGCTTTTGCTGCATCTCAGAAGACAACAGCTGATGATCCAGCCCTCCTTTAAGAGTGATTTATCCCTGGAGCGTCTCTTTTGGGGAGAATTCTGGGTCAGCCCCTGCCACCTGAGTTTCTCTAAAGACACTACTCTTCAGAGGGTCTTGATTCCTGTCTTCCCAATAAGTCTCTGTGTTTATTCTGGACAATTTTTCTATTCACCAGTCAGAAAGGAAGCTATCTGCATTACATTTCAGGGAGTCCAGTGTCTTTCTGGGGACTCTCCTTTAAAAACAGGAAATTATCATCCTGAAGAGACTAGGAGAATTTTTATAGAAGGTAGTGCTTGCCACAGTCTCAAGCTAGAAACCATCAATGTCCATCAAGAGTAAAACTGCTGAGTACATGTTGGCAGATTCACAAAATGCAGGAGTGGAAATCAATGAAAAGGAAGAAACTCCAGCAGCACACAGCAATATGAATGACCCCTAAAAATAAAACGTGAACAAAAGATGCATGACCCAAAAGAAGCCCTCCCAGACAAAGCACATAACATGTTTAAGCAGTTTATGACCTTTGTAAAAGATATTTGGGAAGCTTTCTCCATATGGATTTAGACAAGGCTCTAAGTTATAATGGTAACTAAAAAATGAAGACATGAGCTACTGTATATATATTATATACATAATGTAACTGTGTATACTGTATACACTATACGTGTGTGTGTGTGTGTGTGTGTGTGTGTGTAGTCGATTATCACATATCCAGTAGGCTCTCTCTATAAAACATACAAAGGGGGAATAACAAGTCCACTCACATTTGCCTTTTCATGTATGACAACACTTTGGAAGAAAACAACAAATTAACAACTTACTTGGGGGGTTGTAGTGGAATAGACAAGAAATCGTTTTGCTGTATTTTTGAACCTTTTCTCTTTTGAGCTTTGTGAAGGCATTGCCTATACAAATCATAAAAATAAAAACTAAAAGTTAAGCAAAAGAAAGCATACCTTTCCCTTACTTCAGATGTTCCTGAAAACACTTTAACACATAATACATGCAATATATATTCACTATTTTGGTGTTATCTGTCATTTGAAATACCTTGAGGAAATAAGATTAATCTTCCACTAATCAGCTTTTATTGATTATGACACGAAGGGATTACAAACTCTAAAATTTCAAAAGTTCTTCGATAGTCTTCCAGTCTTAATTTAAAAACATAAGTTTAACAAATCGGTCATCTTGCTCTTGCTTTCATCCTCTTGGTTAATACCCGGGGGCCCTAGTATTGACAAGTTGCTGAAACTTTATCCTTGCAATACCAATTTTTTCAGTGAGGCAAACATCAAAGACACTTTCCACAATGTCAGGACAACAAAATCTCCATCAAGCAGGATTTTTCCAAAAACAGGCTCCAAAAGACCCCACGATTCATTGTTTTACTTTTCCCTTCTTTCTTCATGATACTCTCCCTTTTTTTGAAATATGCAATAATTGCTGTCTTTCCTTACAATTAAACATCTTATTTTCCACAATAAAAAATTTTAGTTATAGGACTGGCAAATAATTCTTTCTCAAAGAAGCCCCCCCCCACTAAAAAAAATGGCAGTGCTCTCTAAAGGTAGCTGCTTCTCTTTCAGTGGAAAGGGCATCACTATTCTTGTCTTTCAACCTATCGCAGCTGAGTTCTGAAGCCAGACGACCCAGCGCCACAGAGGCAAGAGATCTCGGATATATACAAAATAATTCGGATGGACGCTGGGGTAACGTGTTTGCAAGCTGACATCATGGGCTTTGTCTCTCATACCGCACACATCCACAACCACCCAGCGGGCTTCGTCAAACCCTCTTACCCGGCTGACCTGAGCTGAAGTCAGACTAGAGGGCTTCGGGATCCAGCTGGGGGCGTGGGACAGCAGCCAGGCCGGAGCCGCACTCAGGCGGAGTCACGGCTCGGGGTCTATCCCCCGTGCGGCCCAGATCCCGCCTACAGCCGCCTACCTCTGCCTGAGGAATGTCGCTGCCATCCTTTGTCGCGCCCGTCTGTCTGTCACTGGTATTTGCCTGAAGGTCTCACATCTCAGACCGCCAGGTTACCTGAGAAGCTCGGGTTAACTGGAACAACAGGACCACACAGTTACGCTGGTGCACACTGAAGCCCATGCGCATGTGTATTTTTGTCGGCGCGCTTTTTTATTCACAGCTGCGTGTGCTCCTGAGCATGCGTGGGAACTCTCAAGTGTGTCTTCAACCTCCTGCGCCCAAACAGAGGTGAACTTCTGGAAAGACTCCATATGTGGGGTCTCTGGCTACAGGTGCAGACTAGAGTGAGAAAGTAATGGGGCAGGAGTAAGGGCTCCAGAGCTTGGGAACCATCTTCCTGCAGCTTTCATGTGCCTTCAAAGCCTGCTTAATTGAGCCTGATCTCACATAGACCATTTATAGTTGACAGTGGAGAGCTGCTGTGAATGTCCAACTTTTCAGCTGGTTGGTCAGACCACATTTGGCTTTGTGCAGTAGCCAGGTCTCACAGTAAATTGGAGGCCATTGGTAAGCATTCACTCTCTGCTAAGACCCAGTAGCAAGACAAATGCTTTTTCCCAAAAACTGAGTAGTTATCCACAAGGATGGTATGGCTTTGCTCTAAAATCTTAAGGCTCTACAGCAAGGGAACGAAGCTGGACGGAGAATGACTGTGACAAAATGATGGAATTAGACTTCAGAAGGTGGATAATGAGAAAATTTTGTGAGCTAAAGAACATGTTTTAAATCAATGCAAAGGAACTAAGAATCTTGAAAGAAGATTTGAAAAAAGATTCGAGGAAATGATAACAAGAATAAATAACTTAGGGAGTAATATGAATGATTGAAGGAGCTGAAAAACACAATATGAGAATTTCGCGAAGCATGCACAAGTTTCAATAGCCGAATTGACCAAGCAGAAGAAAGAAGATCAGAAGTCGAAGATCAACTCAATGAAATAAAACAAGAAACCACAAATTAGAGAAAAAAGCACAAAAAGGAATGAACAATGTCTCCAAGAAATGTGGGACTATGTGAAGAGACCTAACCTACATTTGATAGGTGTACCAGAATGTGACAAGAGAATGAATCCAAGCTGGAAAATACTCTTCAGGATATTATCCAGAAAAATTTTTCCCAACTAGCAAGGCAGGCCAACACTCAAATGCAGGAAATACAGAGAACACCACAAAGATATTCCACAAGAAGAGCAACCCCAAGGCACATAATCGTCAGATTCAGCAGGTAAATAAAAAAGAAAATACTAAGGGCAGCCAGAGAGAAAAATCGGGTCACCCACAAAGGGAAGCCCATCAGACTCACAGCAGATCTCTCGGCAGAAACTCTACAAGCCAGAAGAGAGTGGGGGCTGATATCAACATCCTTAAAGAAAGAACTTCAACCCAGAATTTCATATCCAGCCAAACTGAGCTTCATAAGTGTGGAAAAAATAAAATATTTTGCGAACAAGCAAGTACTCAGAGATTTGTCACCACCAGGCCTGCTTTACAAGAGCTCCTGAAAGAGGCACTACATATAGAAAGAAACAACCAGTATCAGCCATTCCAAAATCACACTAAATGCTAAAGAGCATCAACATAATGAAGAATCTACATCAACTAATGGGCAAAACAGCCAGCTTGCATCAAAATGGCAGTATCAAATTTGCAAATAACAATATTAACCCTAAACGTAAATGGACTAAATTCACCAATCAAAAGACACAGACTGGCAAATTGGATAAAAATCCAAAACCCATCAGTGTGCTGTATCCAGGAAACCCATCTCACATGCAAAGATACACAAAGGCTCAAAATAAAGGGATGAAGGAAGATTTACCAAGCAATGGAGAGCAAAAAAAAAAAAAAGCAGGAGTTGCAATTCTCAACTCTGATAGAATAGACTTTAAAGTAACAAAGATCAAAAGAGACAAAGAAGGCCATTATATAATGGTTAAGGATAGATACAACAAGAAGAGCTAACGATCCTAAACATATATGGACCCAATACAGGAGCACCCAGATACATAGGGCAAGTTCTTAAGGACTACAAAGAAACTTAGATTCCAAACAATAATAATGGGAGACTTTAACACTTCCCTGTCAATATTAGACAGATCAACCAGACAGAAAATCAACAAGAATATCCAGGGCTTGAACTCAGACCTGGAACAAGAAACCTGATAGACATTTACAGAACTCTCCACCCCAAATCCACAGAATATACATTCTTCTCAGCACCACATTACACCTACGCTAAAATTGACCACATAATTAGAAGTAAAGCACTCCTCAGCAAATGCAAAACAACTGAAATCATAACAAACAGTCTCTGAAACCATAGTGCAATCAAGTTAAAACTCAGAATTCAGAAAGCGACCAAGAACTGCACACCTTCATGAAAACTGAACAACTGGCTTTTGAATGTTGACTGGATAAACAACGAAATGAAGGTAGAAATAAGGAAGTTCTTTGAAACCAATGAGAACGAAGACAAAACATGCCAGAATCTCTGGGACAACATTTAAAGCAGTCTCTAGAGGAAAATATATAGCAATAAGTGCACATATGAGGAGAGTGGAAGATCCAAAACTGACACCCTATCATCAGAATTGAAAGAACTAGAGGAGCAAGATCAAAAAAACTCAAAACCTAGCAGAAGAAAAAAAAAATAACTAAGATCAGAGCTGAACTGAAGGAGACTGAGACACGAATAACCCTTCAAAAATCAATAAATCCAAGAGCTGGTTTTTTTGAAAAGATCAACAAAATAGACAAACCACTAGCCAGATTGATAGAAAAGAGAGAACAACCAAATAGATGCAATAAAAAATGATAAAGGGGAAATCACTACAGAGGTCACAGAAATTCAAACCATCATCAGAGGTCTCTTCCAGGTTTCTTAATAGTTTTGGGTTTTACTTTTAAGTCTTTCACCCATCTTGAGTTGATTTTTCTATATAATGCAAGGAAGAGGTTCACTTTCAATCATCTGCATATAGCTAGCCAGTTATCCCAATGCCATGTCTTGAATCAGAAGTTCTTTTCCATTGCCTGTTTGGTCGACTTCGTCAAAGATGAGATGGTTGTAGGTGTCCGACCTTATTTCTGGCTCTCTGTTTTGCTCCACTGGTCTATGGACCTGTTTTTGTTCCAGTACCGTGCTGTTTGGTTATGTGGCCCTGTAGTACAGTTGGAAGTTGGGTAATGTGATTTTTCCATCTTTGTTACTTCTGCTTAAAATTGTCTTAATTATTCAACTCACTTTTGGTTCCATGTGCATTTTAAAATATTTTGTTAAAATTTTGCGAACGATGTCATTGGTAGTTCAATAAAAATAGCATTGAATCTGTACATTTCTCCAGAAAGTATGGCTGTTTCAATAATAATGAGTCTTGCTAGCCATGAGCATGGAATGTTTTTCCATTTATTGGGTCACCTCTGTGTTTTTAAGCAGTGTTTTGTAATTCTCATTGTAATAATCTTCACCTCTCTGGTTAGCTATATTCCTAGGTATTTTATCCTTTTTATGGCAATTCTGAATGGATTTGCATTCTGATTATGCCCTATCCTTCACTTTTGTTGATTAAATTTTGGAAAGCTACCCTATACCTATTAGGGTTTTCAGAAAATCGGTCTAAGATTCCCTTTATTTGCCTAAGGTATTGTAATGAGAAGGGAATGTGAGGGGAGCCCAAATAAGCGGGATCCTCAGATGGTTCCCCTAAAAGTTTCCTTTTTAATTATGGAGTATTGTTTTTCCTGGGCTTTCCTGACATGATTGCTAAAATAGCTGGATTCATCTTACACCACTTACAGAGGTTCAGTAAAAATGCCACGACCCTACACAAAAGAAAATGAGTTACTTTTCTCCATAAAGTTTTCAGTTTAAGGAAGTTTCAGTGTTTCAGAGTGCACTGCAGAGGAGTACAAGCAGAGAATAATTTATTACAGATTTAGATAATGTAGTGAAAACAAAAGCGTCCTCTTAGCCTCCTTTTTTTTTCTTATGACCCCGAGTGGAGGAGAAGACAAGGAGCATTCTCGAAATACTTTCTTTCCCTGATTTCCGGATCTCAGCACCATGGTAAATGTGCCCCTCATGGTTGTAGGCGTGGTTCTCAAAGCCATGGAACTGGATCAACTAAGTGATGGGGCTAATCATGCTCATCTATAAAATTTATTTTATTTTTTTACTATAGGTTCATACTATATCTGGCATTTCTCTCCATGTATCACTCCCCAGCCTCCCCACACAACCCCTCACCACTGTCTCCCCCCTACTCCCCCAAATGTTGCCAGTGTGTGATGCTCCTCTCCCTAAGCAGTTTTAGCTTATCAACCTGGTGTGATTTACTTTATTTTTCTAAACCCTGTGTGATTTGCCTGGCTCCCAGAAAAAAGGATCTCTGGAGAGACCGTGTCACCTTTGTGCAATACTTCCTTATGGAGGCAATGTGCTAGATTGCCTGGGTACTACGACCCATGCTAATGCACCTACCCTTAATTAAAAAAAAAACCCATGTGGTTAACTTCCAACTTAAGATACCCTTACTAATTAAGTACTGTCTTAATTGGAGACAGAAAAGGTGCCTTAAAAGAAGGTAGAACCAAATGGCTGGTTTCCTATGGATAAAACCATATCAGAACTAAACTCTGGTTGTGGAAGGACATCTCACTCCTAACTGTTGAAAGCAGAGCTTTTCTATCCACAGAAATAGCAGTAGACAGCACAAAATGCAAAGTTGTGAACCTGTAATCTACCACAGAGAACCAACAATGTGTCTTATGAACAGGATTTTTATTTCCACTAGGTGGTGGTGTTGACTTAGAAATACCATGTTCTGGCCAGGTGCGGTGGCTCATGCCTGTAATCCCAGCACTTTGGGAAGCCGAGGCGGGTAAATCATGAGGTCAATGGATCGAGATCATCCTGGTCAACATGGTGAAGCTCCATCTCTACTAAAACACACACACAAAAAATTAGCTGGGCATGGTGGCTTATGCCTGTAATCCCAGCTACTCAGGAGGCTAAGGCAGGAGAATTGCCTGAACCCAAGAGGCAGAGGTTGCATGAGCTGAGATTACACCATT